AGTTCAAATCTCACCAGGCTCAAGGTTGACTCAGCCTTCCATCCTTCTGAGGTCAGTAAAATGAGGGCCCAGATTGTTGGGGGCAAGAGGCTGTTAAACCACTTAGAGAGGGCCGTAAAGCACTGTGAAGTGGTATATAAGTGCTATTGCTACATCTACCGTGGAGGCCTCCAGAGTTTTCCTCTTTCTAAAATTGATGGGAGACTGTCGAAACATGTGGAAGACACCATGTTGAAAAAGTTTGACAGAAGAATAAGGAAGTATGACAGGAAGAGATGAGGTCTATCAAGAAGGAGTTCGTGGGAACACAAAGTGGGTGTAAAAGCAAGTAGCTTCTTTCTCTATCCCCTCTTAGTAATTTAGTAACTTCTGCTGGCCATGGAATTCTGGGAGTTGAAGTCCATACATCTTGAAAGTGGGTGACAATCAGAAACACTGCCCTGTAGTAAGAAAAAGGTTGTTCGGGTACAATATGAACAGTGTGGTAAGGGATCAAAGTGTTTCACAGCAACTCGATACAGACAATATCTGTTTATTTCCATTGAACCAGCGTTGAGGCCAGCATCACACCAAGCCAAAGACTGACCAGGAATACTGGGTGTGTAGTTTTTGTGCATGCATACCTTCAAGTCAAATGGATTCCTGAACAAGTCCGTGGAGTTTATTTGGTAAGGTTTTGGGGAGTCTTCCCCCTTGAGCTAAGAGAAAGAAATCAGCCAAAGGGTCAAACAGAAGACTTCATACCTGTGGAGAAACTAGACTTCACAGCCTCCTGGAGGTTTGTAGCCTGGTGCCTCAATCACTACATCTGACGGGCTCTCGGGTTTACGTTCATTCCAGGAATCGATGCCTTAAAGCACCATACATTCTTGCTCCAAAGTCCAAAGCACTTCTTCCAATACATTTTTAGAACTGAAGGCATAATACAGTTTAATTCAGTGTTTTTTCCTCCCTAGAAATAGTCTGCAAGTTAGCTAATCATAACCAATCAGTTGGCAAGGTCATCAGATTTGTAACTGGCTGCATCCTCATCTCTTCCATCCACAAGGGGGGGGGAGGAAGAGGGAGGAGGAGGAGGAAGGAGAAGAAGAGGAGGAGGGGAAGAAGGGGAAGAGAAGAAGAGGAGGAGGAGGAGGAAGAAGAAAAGGAGAAGAGAAGGAGGAGGGAGGAGGAGGAGGGGAAGAAGGGGAAGAGAAGAGAAAGAAGAAAAGAAAGAGGAGGAGGAGGAGGAGGGGAAGAGAAGAAGAGGAAGAAGAAGAGGAGGGGAAGAGGAGGAAGAAGAAAAGACGAAGAGGAGGAGGAGGAGGGGAAGAGAAGAAGAGGAAGAAGAAAAGGAGAAGAAGAGGAGGGGAAGGAGGAGGGGAAGAAGTGGAAGAGAAGAGGTGGAGGAAGAAGAAAAGGAGAAGAGGAGGAGGGGAAAAGAGGCGGAAGAAGAAGAAAAGGAGAAGAAGAGGAGGGGGAGGAGGAGGGGAAGAGGAGAGGAGGAGGTGGAGGAAGGAGAAAAGGAAGAGGAGGAGGAGGAAAAGAAGAAGAGGAGGAGGAGAAAGAAAGAGAAAAAAGAAAGAAAATTATAACACTGAGTTCACCATATTCTCTAGAATCAATATTTGTAAATATAATTAGAAGCATGAGTAAGATCATTGGGAGAGATCATTTCAATCCATACCTAGTG